CCAGCTCACAAGCTCAAAACAGAAGTTCACTTTGTAAGCAGAAACAAAGTCAAAGAAATACTTACTCCAGCCGAGATACTTAATGTGCTAGAGATGGACTTTGTTGAAAAAAGTGTTGAAGAAGAGTCAATGTCACAAGAAGATCTATTGTTTCTAGCCAAAGTAAAAGAAGGTATAAGACAAAGGTAAGATGGCCACTTTGAAATGCCACTACCCTTCAGACAAGAAAGACCTGACTTGCCAAACAACAAACTTTGCGCAGAACACAGACTGAAGTGTCTAGAAAGGCGTCTCAGAAAAGACGAGCGCTACTACAAGGACTACGTGACTTTCATGCAAGACATCATAAAGAGAGGTGACGCAGAGAAAGTGCCAGAGGCTGAGGTAAATTATCAACCAGCATGGTACATTCCTCACCATGGCATTTACCATCCGCAGAAGCCAAATAAGATCCGCATCGTCTTTGATTGCTCTGCAAGGTTCCAGAATACATCGCTCAACGAGCATCTCCTGTCAGGACCTGATCTCATAAATACTCTTGTTGGAGTTCTGTGTCGTTTCAGGAAAGGACATGTATCTGTCATGTGTGATGTGGAGCACATGTTTCACCAGTTTCATGTTGCCCCAAAAGATCAAGATTACCTCAGATTCCTATGGTGGGAGGATGGTAACATGGAAAGGTCCACATCAGTGTTTCGCATGAGAGTCCACTTGTTTGGTGCAGCATCTTCACCAGGATGCGCAAACTTTGGATTCAAGCATGTCGCTGCGAGAGGTGAAAATAAGTTCAGTGAAGCCACGGTGAAGTTCATGCACCGCAACTTCTACGTGGACGATGGTTTGGTGAGTGTGGATTCAGTGCAAGAAGCTATTCCACTTGTAAAGGAAGCTAGAGAACTGTGTGCCACGGGTAAGCTGCACCTGCACAAGTTCATTAGCAACAGCAAGGAAGTGATTGCTGCTATCCCAAAGGAAGAATGTGTAGCAGGAGCAACTGATCTGGATCTGGCACTAGGAGAGCCAAAGATAGAAAGAGCCTTAGGGGTCCAATGGTGTGTAAGCTCAGACACCTTTCAATTCAGAGTGATTGTAAAGAATAACCCCTTCACTAGAAGAGGAGTGCTCTTGACAGTGGCCTCAATATTCGACCCATTTGGATTCGTCGCTCCGTTCATTTTAGTTGGTAAGAAACTCCTCCAAAGAATGTGTCAGGAAAAGCTGGACTGGGACGAGCCGCTTCCAGAAGATCTCAAGCCTCAATGGGAAGCTTGGCTCAGAGACCTCCAGAACCTGTCCTCCATAAAGATATCACGTTGTTATGTCCCATCAACATCTGACCAAGTGAAGCAGTATGAGTTACACAGCTTTTCTGATGCCAGTGTAACCGGTTATGGTGTGTGCTCATAGTTGCGAACAGTAACCAAGTTTGGAGAAGTACAGTGCACTCTTGTGATGAGTAAAGCAAGAGTCGCTCCTACTAAAGTGACAACCATCCCAACATTGGAGCTTTCTGCGGACTCTTGTTTACATGTATGTGCTCGAGAGCTGTACATATAGAAGTTCTAGATAATCTCAGTGCAGACTGTTTTCTCAATGCACTCCGTTGTTTCATAGCAATACGTGGCAACGTAGGCCAGCTGCATTGTGATCAAGGCACCAATTTTATCGGTGCAAGAAACGAGCTTCTAACGCAAGCAACTCAAGAGAAGGTCAAAGAGCTGGGAATAACTTTCGTTTTCAACCCACCTGCTTCTAGCCACATGGGAGGAGTCTGGGAGAGGCAGATTCGGACAATAAGAAATGTTCTGAAATCCATTCTTGACCAGTCAGCTTCAAGATTAGACACTTCATCATTGAGAACGTTCATGTATGAAGCTATGGCAATAGT